TCCTTGCTTCCTTTTTTTCTATCTTTATACGTGGTTTCGCCTGCGTTATTCTATTGTCAAGGGATGACTACATACAGTGACAACGTACGACAGCATACGAGCCCAGGCCACTAAAGTGCCCAGCGCTTAATAAAAATCGCGAACCACTTCGCAACACAGAACCGGTTTGTGGATATATTCAGCGCAGTGAACTTATCATAAGCACTCTGAGGTGTATTGCTGACGTAAACGCGCTAAGCTGAATCACGTCAGACAGAGAGTCTCAAGTCACTGCTCTCAAAAATTCGCCAAGTCATGCCCCCCCCCCCCCCCCCCCAAGATCACTGGTCTTTTCTTCTTTCATGTGTGCATTGTACCCACTGCACATGGTACATCCGCAATCCTTGACAGAAGGAGGAAGAAATAGGTTTGTTAGCCGATTGGAAGGGTGATCACTGTTTCGCATAAATATCAGTTAAGTTCAATTGAGCAGGGCTATCGCAGGCACACCCACAAACACGGCCGTCTTATCAGCGCTGCGTTCCGTGGCAAGCATTCCTCTTTCTCGCGTTTCATGCGTTGCATTCTCAAAAACGTACTCGTTTAGCATCTGGATGACGGACACCTCTACATGCGACTCCAGCGGAACAGAAGAGGCAATTGAACCCGTCATGCGTAGCTGCGTTCGCTATAGCACGCAGCGACTCCCTCTCCGGATGCTTCTAAAGCAACCGGACTCAATACCATTTTCGGTAGCCTAACTTATATGGGACCGTGTACCTCGAAAGCGCAGAAGGCAACGAAATAGCAACTGGTGTACTAAAGCTCAACAGGCCTGTGCGACTGCCTGAATCGACTTGGCGTGCTCCTCCAAGTGTGCGCAAAGTTTGGTATAAAAGGGTGGAGGTGTTCTCGATATAATAGGCACGTCTGTCTGATGTACTACATACGTTCGCGTTACGTGTGTGCTCAATACAGACCACCCGGCACGAACTGGAGAGCTTACTACGGGCCCACCTATGACACGTTCATGGGGATTCTAAAGCGAAGCCTCGATACAAAAATAGAGTTGTTATATATAAACTATAAAACGTGACGTAGCGTCAATTTAAGGCACCCATTTGTTGGTTGTTTGTTCCAATATTTATATATTTATAAAGTTATAAACGTACCATCACCATTTCCTTCCCCCTTTCCGTCGCCAATAAAATAAGCTTGCACAACACTAGTCTCAAAGCTAATACCTTGAGTAGTGTTTCATTTTGCAAGCCAATTAAGGTGGCATGACGCTGTTGTTTCGTTGTATACCACAAAATGAGAAGACTGGTTACAGATAGCGGCATAAAAACAAATGACGGCGCACAGTCGAGAACCGATGGCAGTGCTGTTTAAATATGAGACAAACTGTCATTAGGTAACGTCTAATCGCTTTGGCAGAAGAGAGAGAGGGGCAGGGGAAGGGCGGGAAGATTAACAAAGTTGAGCCCCGCTTGCGACCCTGAAATGGAGAAAGGGCCTATAAGATAACTGAAAGACGAGGAACATTAACGCAAACGATGCTCGCGATATCTGTACTCCAAGCAGTCGCTTTTTTTTTTCTTTTTTTGACAGAACACGCAACAAACACCACACTTCACAAAGCGCTTCCTCAATTCCAAAGCCGATTGATTGATATGGGGGTTTAACGTCCCGAAACCACCGTATGATTATGAGAGACGCCGTAGTGGAGGGCTCCGGAAATTTCGACCACCTGGGATTCTTTAACGTGCACCCAAACATGAGCACACGGGCCTACAACATTTCCGCCTACATCGGAAATGCAGCCGCCGCAGCCGGGATTCGATCCCGCGACCTGTGGGTCAGCAGCCGAGTACCTTAGCCACTAGACCACCGCGGCGGGGCGAATTCCAAAGCCGAACAGCTGCACGTTTTCCAAACATCAGCTGCACCTGTTACGCGGCAACGGCCTTCACAGGCGCGACATCGTGGCACTGGCAGTATGGAGTCGTCCTTTTTTTCTCTGTATTCTGTTGCGACAAAGGTCAGCGGGAGCAAGAACGAGGCCTCACTCTTGGTCGGTGTCGCGTTTCAAGAGCGTCGAAGGGCCGCAGCTGAAGGCCAGCGTTGCCGTGGAAACCAGCGACGCACTCCAGCGAGCACCGGCTCAAACGCGCCAAGGCGCGCGGTGCACGCCACCAAGGGTCACGCACAAGTCCGGCTATGCGGAAAACACTCAGACGCCCCGTGCACGTCGGTAGTGTGGTACATATACGGTCGAGCTATTATTCCCGCGATGCGCGCTACACACACAATGCGTGATGCGTGTACGTACCTAACGTATACGTCACGCTTTGGGACCGCAAACGCGCAGGCAAACGGGGTGCATGATTGCGACACGGACTTCTTGTTTGGCTCTGCGTGCGGGAAACGCTGTCGGACATTTATATGCTATTTAATCTTACCGTATTTCGCTTTGTGAAGCCACGAGGAGCCGAGTGTCCGACAGCTGTGGATTCTACAGGTGCACCTGGATGCTCGTGATACAGGTGTAAAGAGCCGTCATCGTGAATGATCGTGGGTAGCACGCTACACGTTCTTACAGCGATTTCCCATTGTTTACTCGTACCTGTATGGGCAAGTTAACTAAGTTACACGGTTTTACCAACTGAAAATGCAATAGGTATATACGGGGCGGCTATGGGTGACCCTGGATGGAGGTGACCTTATGGGTTTAACTACGCTGCTCAGCATTTTTTTTTTCGGCGAAGCTGTATTTCTCTGCCATACACTGGTTCTGCCTCCGTGGGAAGAGGGGGAGGGAAAGAGCAAAAGAAGAAGAAAAGGAAGAATTTTCGATTGACCTTTAGAGCGGGCTTGTCACGAGGTATTTTTTGTATTTCAAGTTGCGGGCATTTGAGGAAAACAGTAAAAATTACAGATATAAAGCTCGAAACTGTTTCACCAGACGCTTTGCAAACCGATGAACAACTTTCTCATCAGAATGTCTGGCCCATTTTCATTGCCTAAAAAGTTAGTTGATAAAGGTGACCTAATTATACAATCAATCAGAACACAAATAATAGTCTGACTCACTCCAGGCCTCACTATAGACCGTTCGCAGGCTGATGAATGTGTAAATGAACGGTTACGGTACAAATTATTGTCTAGTCATTAATTTACGCCATTAAAATTACTACGCCGTTTACTCTCGGCACAAAAAATGCATTCGCATTTCCTCACGATTAACTTCGGGGAGGGGGGGGGGGAAATTCTTTTGAAAGCTTGCTAGTAACAGTTGGTACGATTAATTCACCTACAAATTTTGCTCACATGGAAAGTCTAACGGTGAGGGGCGAAACGGTCCGTGAATGGAGCTCTCAAGGTAAGATGGCCGGCCAAGCCCGAGGCCTGTTGCACGTATAGGCGGAGAAGACAGCTTAAATGGAGGCGTGTAAAATCCCCCTGCGAGAGCTTCGCAGTAATATTGTGGATTGAGGAATAATGAAATGAGCAGGACACACCCTAAGAAGCACGGTATAGTGTTGCGCTCCAAGAGTGGTTGCTTCCACGAGTTATGTACGTAATTAACGAAGTGGTCTTAATTGCCTCGTTAGCCTGTTTTATACGAACCGGCTAATGCATTCGGTCCGCCGCAAACACTTTTCAGTAGTTTGCAGGCTAGCCACGATGACATTTTAAATAGACGAGCTTTTCTGGGAATCGCGGAAATAGTTGAATTTTCTGTCTTCGCAGGGCCCGTAAGGGCAGAAGTACGTAAAAAGTCCGCATATGATGTCACTTTCGACATTCGTTGGCTTTCGGGTGAATTCGACTGGTCTGCACGAGAAAGCCATTGTTATTTAGTGGCTTTAATGGCCCCTAAAGCACTACCGAGTCCAAAGTCAACCAAGTGGTTCCTTTCTCACTTATGCTGTACCCTAACCACTGGCGATATGTCATCCTCGCCGCTTATGCCCTCATAAAGAAACGTTGGCAGTGTCGGCACTGAGCTTTGATAGATAACTATGGTTACGCACTTAAAACACAAAGACATGAACGAGCGCGAACTTACGAATCCCAAGTCCCAGAAAAACCACTGGGCTGCGAGCGAAGTCATAGTAGAAGGCTCTTAATAATTTCGGCAACCCGCTCGAGGTTTTTAAACGTATACTGACATCGCTATGTATACATGGACCTCTAACATTTCACCTACACCGAAATAAGACCACCACGACCGGAATCGAACTTGCAAACTACAGTTGACTAGCCGAGAACCAACAACTGTGGTGGCGACTCAAATAGTGTTGAGATTGACCACACAGCAAGTTTTCTAATTATGTACGAAGCTGTTCAATCGTTCGTGACGTCAGTGTCTGGACGCTTGAAGGGTGAATATTAGGGACATTTTTAATGTGAAAATGTTGATTCAATACGAGGCGATGCCCTGTGTAGTTAATGATTTAAAGCATTCGATCCGCTATATCTTTAGTGCTTTGTTATATGATGATAATTCCTCCAGAATATTTTCCCAACTTTGACAATTATCATGCGCGGAGCAATAAATTTAGAGAATGAGGAGGATCAGAAAAAAAAGAAGCTCGGGCCCCAGACCGTGCACCAGCCAAGTTAGATCACTATCTGCTTGTCTGCTTTAATCAGATTGAATTGACTGAAACCTAAATCTAGGAGGTGCTTTATCATTTCGCACAATGCTTCACGTATTTGAGATGACCAAGTGTTCTTTCTCCCTACGTGTCCTATCACGCTGCTCTTGAAAATAAACCTAAAACTACAAAAAAGGAGTGAGAGAATTCTTGCTCTAAGTTCATGGATATCTCGCAAGAGCCAGCTAACTTTCGTGCGGACGTGCACTACGACTCCGACGTTGTCAAAGCGGGAATGCCCCGCGCCCTGCCTCAGCCACAGGCGAAACTCGAGAGGCTGCAATCTGTTTTCAGCAAAATTTCGCCCGCCCTTCTTATCTTGACTTAAGGCTCGCTCGGTCTGTTCCGCCTTCGGTGCTTCTGCTGGCGAGAAAGTACTCGATGGCCGTGCAGAAGATGCAAAACCAAGGGGGCCATGACTCCGAGCAGTCGAGGAACATCGCACGCATTCCACGGGTTGCTGCTGTTGTCATGGGTGATACAGTGGTCTTCCTGTGCGCCATCTTGCTTTTACAGCACCGGGCCCTCTGGACAGGTGACCTACACGTGCTCGGAACTTCGGTCTTCGGCAGATCTCTTGGACAATTTCAAGCCCAATAGAACTGCCGGCGAAGGAGGCCGGATAAAGCTGCTGCTTGAAAACAGCGTGTTTGAACGCGTCCCTCAAGGTCTCTTCGATGGTCTGGGTGTCTCGACTTTGCAGCTGGATAACGTCGAGCTGACCGGTAGCTGGAGTCCGACAGAGCCGACTCCTCTGCGCGGCCTGGAGTCCACCTTGCAGAAAGTGGTGTTCAGTCACAATAGCACCGTTCCCCGCAATTGGGCCTTCTTCTTCGCGGGCATGACGGAGCTCGTCGAGATGGTCTTCTTTGACATGAGCGGTCTGAGGTTCACGTCCAGTTCACAAGGAGGCCTGCCGAGAACGCTGCGAAAGTTGCACCTGGTTCGGTCGAGCATCACGAGTGTGGACGACTACTGGCTCTCATCCCTGGTGGACCTGCAGACGCTATCGCTGCGTCACGTGAACCTTACGGCGTTCGCGAGAACAAGTGTTGCCAACGGTGGCCGCCAAGCTGGAGACGCTGCTGCTGGAGTAAGGCGCCTATGAAGGCCCTCTTCTGTGGTCTTTTCTTTTTTGCTTGAATATGTTAGCGGGGCAGCCACGTACTCTGAACTGCATAAAATCTGGGCTCTGATGATTTCTAATGAACATACGTCTTATGGACATATTTATGATGATAATTACCGGAGGCGGCACGTATCTTGGAATCAGAGCTTGCTTTGAAGAGATAAGTTCTGGCAAAGGGAATTTATGTAGATGACTTGCATTAGCGCATTGGGGAACACGCAAGTTGGGGAACAAACGCGCGACGTTATGCGAGAGATATCTCCAAAAGGTTAAGGCCACATTAAATTAGCCGCCTTGTTCGAGGAGCAGCTCGTTGGTGAGCCGCCCACTTGACGCCATGTGCTATACACGTCATAACGTTGACGTGACACGTACTGCCATCCGCACGAAAGAGCGAGACAAGCGCCATGGATACTTTTACACTGTCTTTCCTTAAGCGCTTGCTCTCAACATGTTATCCTGCGGTAGTCACTGTAAGACTGCACCCACACAAGTTTACCAGCATGCTGCATCGTTTTGATGGTGTTTCAACGGAGGTGCTGATAAATTCATAAAGTTTATTCAGATTTTTTTCCAGATTCTAATTGATTTCATAATTAGCCTGTTGCGAGACCGGGGTCTACCCGACGCGTCCCCGCTGGCGTGGGTTGCCGAGACGTCAGGGTTACATCGGACCCAGTCTCTTGTGGTAGCGTGGTGCAGTTTCGTGTGGAAGAAACGTTGCTGACAAGATGGGAAATCGAAAAAAAACAGGTTTACTGGCACAGTAATACCCGTGTCACACGGCCATCACCAAACTCCGTTGAATACCGTCAACGTAAATCTCCCCTAGGGGGTTCGACAGAGAAGGAGTTGTGGCAGTGTCACACGGCAATGACAAGGTTGTAACAGTTGCCGCGAGGGGACTCAGCTGGCGCTGTTTGATTTTCGGAAAAGTATTCTAATTTGATCCCTATTGATTTTTTTGTGAATCTTCGTTATGCGGTTTTTACAAAAAAGCACTATTAAGTAGGTATGCGACTCACAAATCATTAAAAATAATTTCAAATAAAAACGCATTTGCTAAATGTAGCAATGCTGCTAGTGACGCTGGCCACATTGTGCTTTTAGTTGTTTTGTTGCCTGCGTACATGCCCGGTACGAAAGTTCTTATGCTTCCTTGCCTCATGAACGCGCATTTTGTGTTCTTCAGCCATGAGTGACACAGCGGACGACGTGAGGAAGTGGCGCGATATTGCGCTGGTAATGACGTTGATCGGCTGGCACCGGCCGGCCCGACTCGCGAGGCTCCGTGTATAGAACGTCAGTGTTGAGAGTAAGTGAACTCTGGCGGGCGCAAATATTGTGAACAAACACGCGTTGTGAATGAGTACTACAACGACAAGACGTTTAATATTGCTAAAATGTATTATTCTTTCACTGCGGCCACTTAATGCTCGAAATTTTTCTCTGACCTCTAGACTGCTGAGGACGAGAGTACCTCGTTTCGCTGCGAAGGGAGATCGTTGAACGTTTTTTGCGAAATGCTTCGTTCACCTTCGTTTGCGTAAGGGTGGCCGTGTGACACCGACCGCATCTTCGTTGTCGTAAAGACGAGGGAGTTAAACGGTCTTCACGGGTGCCCGTGTGACAGGGGTATAAAACTCAACCTTCTACCCACTCCCTCTGTTCTCTAGAGCAGAGCTCTCTCAGCTGCGTAGCCGCTGTTGCTACAGAAGGGAGTGAAAGGTAGGTTGCATGGTGTCCATCTTGTCTTGTCGTGGCTGCTGCTTGTAAAGGATGGAGACCAGTGCCTTTCGATACGTTGCAACAGCTCGACTTTGTGTACAGGAACTTATGTACGTATTTAAAAGACTCTTTCACCGTTGGAACCGTCGCATGCTGCGATCGGCAGAGCCGATAGTGCAGATCACTGTCTGCTGCGAGACAGAGAAGTGGTTATAAGAGGGAAAAGAAGAGAAAAGTGAGCCCCGTAACAATCTGCATCAGGGCGCGACACCTCAACAGTAGCTCACAAGGGATGGGGGTGAGGAGGGATTAAAAGGATAGGATCAAAGGTATATATATAGAGACAGATGTGCTGGACCAGCGAGCGAGAACATATGAGGGGTAGGAGAGATAGGAAAGATGGAAACACGGTCACAGGAGTTCGATGACGGTGCACCATTTGCGAGAGCTCTTGTCGGCGTCAGGAGATGGCGTAGGGCAAGTCCAGTTGGTCAGAGCTACGCTGTCGTCGGAGATCGGCGTCAGGTGATAACGTAGGGCCAGCCCAGTCGGCCAGAGCTACGCTGACGTCGGAGATCACGAGGGCACAACCAGGTCGGCACGAAATCCAGCGAGCGAGCTCTGTCTGCTGCGACCAGAACGACCGTGAGGAAACGGGAGCCAGGTTCTAACCCCTCGGTTGCCCCTCCCGATTCTCCTCACGGCCAACCAAAACAATTCAGTCCGTTTATTGGACAGACTAAACACACTTGTTGCAGTCCTCTCCTCTCGCTCTGTAATTCAAGCACTCGACCTCTCGGTTGGAGAGAGACGTAAGAACCGGCCTACACACGTTGTTCCGCGAACTGTGCGAACGCACACGATGGTGGCGCCGTTCTGCTGCGGGCCCCTGCCATTACTGCGAGATGACTACGCTGTCCAGCGTGACAGCCGTCTCGCGGACTCAAATCAAAATGGATGTGTGTCGATACACCGGATGTGTTCCCGTCACCCGCCGCTACTTCGCTGGCCAGCGACCACCTTGCTTCTTGTTAAAAGCGGCGACTGACTGCGGTCTTCTTACTAGAAAGGGTGTCCTTATGTCAGGATTATCGTTTTCCGAGAATCGGCTCCTTGGAAAGAGCACCCTTTTGTAACAAAGAAGACTCACCCCCACTGCCTGCGAGGCCAGACCTTACATGCACTATTTACAACTATTTACAGCACAGGAAGTTCGGAGTTCCGCAAACCACGAACGTGGTGGATGAACCGTCAAACCACTAACTTTGTAGCGTAGTTTTAAGCCTTGTCATGCTTCCTCCTCTTTGATTGGAGCACCAATAACCCACAAGACACCACCCTCCAGGGCATCAGTCAATAACCCACGGTCGCCGAATAGGGGTCGCATCTCCTGACACAATGTTCCTCCGGTCCGAGTTTCACTAAGGAGAAGGCAGATGGTTTCCTTTCCGGAGCAAGTTGGTGGTTGGGTTGCTGCTGCTGTCTTTCCCTGGAAGGGCAGCAAGGAGTAGAGACTTTATAGCTTAGACACGACTTGCGTGGTCGGTCTGCTTCGCCGTCTTGCCGAACAAGCCGTCAGGAGAAAATGTCCGTAGGGATAATGGCTCACTAACATTCGGAAGTTGCCACATTCTAATCCCTTTGTTGCTTCCCGCCGCTTGAGGCTCGCTAATTCCGAGAGAATTGAGCACTGGGGCTTCCGGACGTGAGAGTGCCGCTCGCCTCTGCTTCTCATGGCCAGCATGGGGCCCACGGACGAGGGTCACAACAAGTCATTTTTTCGGTATTGTGGTTCATTGATTATACTTCTAGTGTTCTTTTTAGGTTGTGCTCGCGGAAAGAAAGTTCTCACATCATAGCAATACCGTCATTTACAATAAAAGGGAGGCACGTCAGCTTCATTATAATGGAGTACAGCCCTCACGGATTCAAAAACGACATCAAAATTTTCAGTTTAACCACTGGGTCTGCCCAATAGCTCAAGATCCGGCGTCATGCAGCTACGAAACTGACCGCTAAAGATTCCTGTGTAAATCTTCCAGACGCAATTACACGATACGGCACGAACTGAAGGTGGGGAAACCAAAAGTACGTTTATCACTTATCCCTCAGATGTCACATTCCACTTCGTGAGCACTGTACACATAGCAGAGACACGATACTAGAATGAGTGGTGATCATTTCGTCATTTTTTTTTCTTCGTATTTAGGGACTGCTCGCTAACAAGCTTTCCTTCGGGCCTTGACAAGGGACTCCCATCACTAAAATACGTTGGCCTTCAAAAAAATCAAATGATTCAACTTGGCAGCGATGACGTTAGCCCTCTGATCAACAAAGGCGTCGTTCTACAGCTTAGAGGTACGTCATCAGTTTTTGTTTTTCCTGTACTCAAATTATCGACTTATTTCACTCGGCTTTCTTTCTGAAAGTTCATTACTAAACTTTTCTTTTCGCCTTACGGCAGCACGTGTACCAGAACAAGATGCGTTTTACAGAATGTCATCACTTTTTTAATAATGACTGGCTTCCGGAACTGTTATATTTCATCATTTGAAGTATTTGTTCAAATCGTCGGGTCGAGGTGCGTGCGTAATGTGGACAATAACCAATGTAAATAGTTTTCAAGTAATTACAAAGCAATTACAATTGCATTTTATGGAGGTGGAGGAGGAAGCAACGAGATCAGAGTTTTTTGTTTTTAATCAACCGAGGCGAAAGTGCAAATTTTCCTCCTGTGTATTCTCGAGCTGACTATTCATCCTTCTATTTCATACTCCTCTTCTTTTCTATCTCCTTCCTTTCTACTATGCTCCCTTTCCTCAACCCAAGTGTAGGGTAGCCAACCGAGCCAAGCTTGGTTAACCTCCCTGCCTTTCTTCTCTATTTATCTCTCTCTCTCCTGTGTACAGAAGGCGCGACTACGTCACGGGTGGTCCGCCGCGGTGGAGCAGTGGCTCTTGTGCTCGAGTTCAGACCGGAAGGTCGTGGGTTCGATTGCGGCCGCGGCGGTCACATTTCGATGGACGCGAAATGGTGTAGAAGCCCGTGCACTGTGCGATATCTGTGCACGATAAGAACACCAGATGGTAAAAATTTCCGGAACCTCCCGCTGCTGCGTCCCTCATAATATATTTAGTTGTTTTGGGACGTTAAAGCCCACATATATATACGTCGCGAGTGATATTTAAAGTCTGTGATAAGAACTGTGGACAACATCGATTAGAAGCTACTTGCTCCGCTTCTCACACAGAGTTGGAGAGTCCACTCTAACTTTGAGAGAAGGATAGAGAGACAGGGTAAAAGAAAGGCAGAGAGTTTAACGACGGCTGAAACCTTGGTAGACCACGCAGCACCGAGGAAAGGACAAGAGTTCTCATAAGTGGTGCCCCGTCCTCAGACTGCTGTGACCGTGTTTCCATCTTTCCTATCTCTCCTATCCCTCACATATCCTCGCTGGCTGGCCCAGCGCATCTCTCTCTATATATATACATTTAATCCTATCCTTTTAATCCCTCCTCACCCCCATCCCTTGTGAGCTACTGTTGAGGTGTCGCTCCCTGAAGCAGACAGTTACGAAGCTCACTTTTATTTTCCTTTCTCTCTTAAAACCACTTAGTAGGGAGGGAAGGAGAAAGAAATGAGAGAGCAGGTAAGGTCACTTTTGCCGCCGATGTAGTAAGAGTTTTGCGCTTGACATCAGAGACAAAAATGATATATACCGAAAGCAGGGAGGTTAATCGAACTATCAGTATCCATTTTGCTACCCTTCACTGGACAAAGGAAAACGAAAGGTAGAAAAAGGATGAGAGAGAGAGAAGGACACACACACACAAGTACATAAACACACACACAAACGCACACACGCGCACGCACGCTTCTGCATGCTTGCAGAAACTTGAGTGACTCCGCATTTTTCTGATGTGAAGTTGGCACGTTCCGGCATTTCCAAATTATTACAATAGTTTTTTTGTAAAAGCGGCTGATCGTCAGCTGCTTTCTGCCGACCATTACTATCTCTGAGAGCTGTAGCGAGGACAATGATAAAGGACGCACACAACGATCAGTGCTGCCTCTCCGGCCACAGGCAGCATTGTCAGGCAACTTTATTTTATTATTTATTTATTTGTGGTGTTTAACGTCCCAAAACCACCATATGATTATGAGCGACGCCGTAGTGGAGGGCTCCGGAATTTTTGACCACCTGGGGTTCTTTAACGTTCACCCAAATCTGAGCACACGGGCCTACGACATTTCCGCCTACATCGGAAATGCAGCCGCCGCAGCCAGGATTCGATCCCGCGACCTGCGGGTCAGCAGCCGAGTACTTTAGCCACTAGACCACCGCGGCGGGGCTGTCAGCCAACTTTAGGCGTGCCGATGTAATTTCTGCATATTTTGATTAGGATTAATTGAAAAAAACAGTGTTTACCTTTTTCACACGTTTTTTTTTTCTTCGCTCCGGAAGTGCCTTGATTTATTGAGTTTTATTTTGTGTTCACGCAGGAAACCCTTTGAGCTGCGACTGCCACCTGCAGTTTTTGTTTGAAAACTCGAGACGGCATTCCGTGTATGGACAATGCGACGCACCAAAAGCCCTGAAGGGGCGGAGTCTGAGAGCTCTCTCGGAGCGAGACATAGCACCTTGCGCCAGGCGACAAGCTTCTCAGTCGCTGTAGATCCATGATGTACATACCCACCGAAATCAATAGCTATAATAGGTCATCTTTACTAAGCAATAAAAATGTTTTAAAAGTACTCAGAAGCATATTACTTGCAAGTTTTGGACCTCTTAGTTTTAGGGACACATGACAATGGCATATTGCGCAGATTGGGCCCATGAATTTTTCAAAGCGGCGGCAACTGCAGCGTTTTTTTACCATTGCACTCGAAACTACCCGAACCAAGCGGGCAGACCATATGACACGCCAATTGGCGGAATTACGCTGTGTAGGTATCCGTTTGTGCACACACCAATCCATGGGAAGCTTACATGACAGGAAATTGGCTTTCAACGGACTGATTGAAAACGTTATACAAGTGAATGATGTGCTACCATCAAGTGACCAATGCCATTACGTATGTTCGACTATATCGGCAGATCTTTATTTTGATAGGGCAGCACTGATACGCTATATGTGACACCTGTTTGTTTTTGCGGACTTCCCGTCGGGCTTTGTGCCTCGATAGCACCTACAGAAGTGTCTAAGCGAACTTTCATGCGAACAGCTGCAAGCTGTCGCCGCTTTACGGCAACCTCTCAAACCCGCAGCGCAGGTGCCGGCAAAGCAGCCTCGTTACAGCTGGCCACTATGTTGCCAATGGGGAACTGCGCGGAACAAGTAACAGCATTAGCACGCTCTTTAGCCGCATTGTTTGTTGGCATGCATGAGGGAGCATTTCTCGTTTTCGGCTATATTACACGTTTCAGTGCCTAAGTCGCATACGTATCGGACCATTCCTTTTTGAATTAAGAGGTTGTCGTTAAATTTTACGAAGCGCATATTTTTATGTTTTTGGGACTGTGGCTGTTATGTATTTTCAAGAAAATTTCCTAGAAAGTGACGGGTCTCGGGCCCGTGGTTAACTGAGACGGAGCGAAAACAGTGCTTATAGAAATACCATTGATGGAAACGCACTGACCTTATTTCATTTGTGACAAGGACTTCAAAGTTGAGGTAAAGCTAAAGTGGGGCGGGGAGGACCACTTTCAGGTTGAGGTAGTGGGAGACTTCTTTTTGTTTGCCTCTTTTTGTTATAATTGATGTGTAAAAATATCTGTTACTTTTAGATGCGGAGCATCTTATACTCGCGCCTTGTAGTGCGCCGTCCGCGTCGTCCGCGCCGTCCACACCGCTTCTCGAACATTCGACAGCTGACGCGCGCGCATGCGCCGTCGCGCCGTCGCCCACTCTTCCACCATCTGTGCATCCCTTCCTCCTCTACACACCGCGCGCGCTTCACTCCTCCACCATCTGTGTGCCCTTCCTCCTCTACACACCGCGTTCGACATCTACAATTCTCCTGATTCTCCAGTGGACGCGCATGCGCCGTCGCCCACTCTTCCACCATCTGTGCATCCCTTCCTCCTCTACACACCGCGCGCGCTTCACTCCTCCACCATCTGTGCACCCTTCCTCCTCTACACACCGCGTTCGACATCTACAATTCTCCTGATTCTCCAGTGGACGCGCATGTGGCGTCGCGCTTCGAGAACATTCAACAGCTGACAGTGCATGCGCCGTCGTGCTGTATATATACTCAAGGTCGGCGCTCGCTCGCTCAGTTGCCGCTCGTCGGTTGGTTTGTACGGCGCGTCGACGTCCAAGGTCGCGGTGAAATGAATTCCAACGAATCCACAAACACAATGATCGACTTCCCTTCGACCAGCGCCGCCCTTTCGCATACGTGTGTACGTGTTCACTCATTTAACATCCCCTCCTACAGCCACGTTAACCAATTTAGCCATCGACCCAAGTAAGTCGCAATTTAACACCCCATTTCACAACCACGTTAACCAATTTAGCCATCGACCCAAGTAAGTCGCACTTTAACACCCCGTTAACCAATTATATGGTCCGCATCCTCCTCAGTGTTCCCCCGAGGGAAGCTGCGGGCAATTTTTTTAATTTAGTTAGTTGTAATCTCATGTTGTTATTTAAGAAGTCTCGGCATTTCTACACATTCCTTGTTTCATTGTCTGAAGAAAAATATTACACTACTAATCAGGTCTTACGGACAGGTCTCGAAGTATCAGTGTTTTCCTAACGATGTTTTATGAACTCTTATGAAAAGTGTGAAACTGTCGCTAGTTGTTTGTCTTAAAGTGTTTTAACGTGTGTACATAACTGCCCCTTGTGCGCCTCGTTGACGGAGACGTGTGACGGCACCTCGTCAGGCATTAATTTGCATTTTTGCCTACTCTGTTCCTTACATGTCACCATGCACTCTGTAACTCATTTATTATTCATATATAAATAAATGAAAAAATTGTTTCCTTCAGATCGTGGGAAAGTGCCCCCTTCCCATTCATAATTTCATTCATAATTCACGATTCCAGCTGTATACGCCCTTGTTATCGTTCCATCTGAAAGTTTTGTCGTTACTGGCGGAACTTGTGTAGTCTTGGAAGTTGACGACTACGACGGAAGGGACGACGCTCAGAACTGAAACGGACAATACCCGCAGCCGACGTCGTCGTAAGAGCGCCAATGAAAGACTTCTACAGGGGGGGGGGGGGGGGGACTTATCGAAAGCGCCAAATGACAGACTTCCATAGCTTCGGTGTCACTGGTGCTCTGTCTTGTTTTCTGTTGCGTCTCTCTTGAGATTATCAGGTGATCCAACTGACTGTGAGTTTTCATATTTCCGGAGGGGGCGGGACGGCCAACTGGCTTATATATATATATATATATATATATATATATATATATATATATATATATATATATATATATATATATATATATATATATATATATATATATATATATATATATAGAGAGAGAGAGAGAGAGAGAGAGAGAGAGAATATTTGAAAGTATTATAGGATCGTAGACAAATGTCTCTTATATACACAGAGGCTTCATTGTACATCCCGTACAAAATTTGTTTTTAAAAGAACCGGGCACATGCCACAATTTTAGTCAACCTGCAACTTCACCCGACTCCTTTCTGGTCACTGCCTCATGATCCGAATTTGAATTCGAAAAGCCTGAAAGGAAATGGAGCATGTATAGACAAATACCCAGTGGTGAAATAGCTACCAGTCCGTAAGCAGTAAACCGCCACGGCGGTAAGCGGAGCTCTGAGTCGACGCATTGTACGACAAATCGGTATTTCTCGTCGTCCGCAAATCACGTCATACAGCCGAGTACAACATTAAGAAAGGACGCCGATGAGCAAGATAACGACCGAAAAGGGGATTTTCGTCGTAAAAGCGTTGCAGCCTTAGCTCTATACTCTCTGATGCATGGTGTCCGCCTTGATTCTTGGGAAATTGAAGGAAGAAGACAGCTAAGCATGTGGCACGATGTGCTGCGTCATTCAGGTATGCAACAGCCGTGGTCAAAGCTACAACTAGGGTTGTTGTTTTCTTTCTTCCTCAATAGACATTTTCAAATAAGAAAGAAAGCACCTTTTTCCAAGAGTGTAGCATTAAAGTACAGAAACCAACGTCACTGCCTTGGCAGATCATTCTTGTGGGGTAACCTATACGTATACAGCTCAAATGCGATTATGAAGGTACTTAAAGAGCTTTCGTTGAAATTATGCGCCGAGTTAAAACATTGCGTGACTGACTGCGACGCAGACAAATACAAAAGACGGAAAAGGAGAGCTGCACTTTTAGTCCATGATGTTTCCATTAGTTTTTGTCGTAAAAGATTTGAATTTGTGGCTTTTGTGGTTCTGCCACTCAAGCCACAAATTGTCTTTGGCAGGCCTAAGCACTCGTACTTCTTTATTTTATGAAATATAAGACATTATTATTATTATTATTATTATTATTATTATTATTATTATATTATTATTATATTATTATTATTATTATTATTATTATTATTATTATTATTATTATTATTATTATTATTGTTATTATTATTATTATTATTATTATTATTATTATTATTATTATTATTATTAGAGTTTTATGGCTTCAACGATATTGGTATTCTTTTTGATAGCATACATGCTAATTTTTGCTCACGCTACATGTACTGTCATGCGAGGCCTTCATTCCCTCGGTTATGTTTGCAGAATCTCTCGAGAATCAAGTTTTCCTGCCGTTTTCCAGAAATCGTACACCGCAATATGTCTTGCTCAACTTGAATATGCTTCCGTGATCTGGAATGGCAAAGCTAAATATGGCAGTGACGCCATTGAGTAAGTTCAGAAAAAATTCATAAGCATTTACAACCATCATTTTGCTTGAAATTACTCTGGATTTTGTAATTACACAGCCAGATTATTACCACTGCCATGACTTCACTGCTGACGCATTCGCGCTGTTCACGGCATGATATCCTGCTCTTTGCTCTGAGATGTGTAAATTTTTGGATTCCGCGTAAGTTAACTATGAGAGAATCAACCATTTCATGTACTTCCAAACTTTTTTCAATACACTACTGTTCACAAAATTCAAAGCCTACATGATGTTAACTTATATGATCTTGATGTTTTTCACAGTCCACATCCATTCCTTTTATCTCAGCTTTGCACTGTCTTAAGACAGTTTTTCACAATGTACAGTGTTTCATTTTCTGTTTTTCAGGAAGCCTTCCACAAATTTGTGCATATTCCCTTATTTTTCACTGTCATTCCATGATTCCCATCTTGTCTTTTATTCTTCCCATTTTTAGCTAATTTCTTGTTTTCTGGGTGTTTTTATTCTTTTTATTACTCTTTTTTATTTTTTGTAGATTGCGTTTTATGGTTTATTTTTATTGTTTTGTTTTTGCGTGCACCTCCACTATGACCTCATGGTTTTTCCAGAGCACGGTAAATAAGTGATTGACTGATTATTATTATTACTACTTTTCGTTCAGTAGAGTGCTATGAATGTAACAGACGTGTTTACCTAGTGTTCATTCTAAGAAACAGCGGGCAAGCCTACACAACCACAAGACAAAGTATAATGGTTCGCACACTCATAATATGGTTAATGAATGTGAGGCGTAATAGGATCTTTACCGCTCAGCCTTTCGATAAATGAGTGAATCAATGTTTCACCGATTAAAATAAAAACTCACAGGGTTCCT